AAATAAACATGGAAAAATACTGAGACAAAAATTTATTATTCTAACATTTCATGCAAGATACTCTTAATACTGTCAATATTTTATCAAAAGGAACACCTTATCACAACAAATTCATAACTCCAGAGACAAGTACTTAATATTTTAGGAGCTGTTCATGCAAGAAAAGGTGGTTCCACGAGTTCAGAAACTTTTTCCATGCAGCTGTACATACAGTAAACAGAAAAAGTCCAATGCTTGCTTTGTGTCTTATGTTAGTAATTATAAACATGTTAATTTTTCCAAAATCTCTTGCATTTCACGTGTCCAAGTACTGGACATTCAATGTTATATGTTCCCCAATTAACAAAAAAATGAACTCATCTATTATGTTACACAGTAGGCAGCAGAGAACAGGTTTCATAACAAAACATTATTTGTTTTTCAACTGTCCCACCTCAGGACTGAGAAGGGTACGTCTCTTGTTGTTGTTTTACAAGTAAGCAGCTTTACCTGAACCTGTACGTTGCCTATACAGCCTCTGCCTCTCTCCTGCACTAGGTTTGGCCATTGCCACGCAGCCAGGGTAGCAAAATGCCAAAATAAGCACTAACAGACTTAAATATTGATAAAGATCGAATTTCTGTTTTTCCCAGTTTTTCCAACTGTTTTGATCATGACATTAACATTAGTCACTGGTGTCACTATAGGTCACTGGTGTTACCTGAATGTGGTGTAACACCAGTGACAATTTGATTAAAACTGAGGATTTTGTTAATTGGCTGACCCATTAGTGACCAGGGGACCTTGTGGAACTCTATAAAATTAATGATATAAATGATCTATGGCATTACTTTAACAAATTTTCAATTACCCATCAAGTACATAACACCAGTTACACACAGAACTTATGTGCTGCCTGATAAACAAAATTATTTATAAATTCATGAAATATAATAAGCAAGTATGGACTTTTCTTCTCATGCCTTGAGGTGTTTCCTCTCTGATGACCATTGATCTAAGGAAGCAGTTTAATAGAGTTGAAAATACTACGTTAAAATTTAATATAAGTGTCCTGATAGCACCAGTGACCAAAATTTCTGTGACAAATGTATTTTTTAAAAAAGAATACATATTATTGTAGTATAATGTTATTGATGACATGAATCTGTTTTATACAATTTCCTAAGCTAAACCTTTTCAAAATATTGTTTTATATTAAAAATGGTTTCTCAAATGTTGAAATTTGGACAAGCTGTTTTACATATCTACAGCAACTATGAAACATGATTAAAAAAGAAAAATCCAAGAAATTATAAGTTTTATTTAATCTAGAAATCATACGTTTTATTTAATCTTAGGTCAACTATGTAAAATGTACATACTGACTTGAAGTTGTGCCTAATATTATAAGCATCTCTTTAAGCCCTGCAACCTTTGTCACATGGTTTCCTACTTCAAATGAAGAATGACCTATGTACAAACACACACACACACACACACACACACACACACACTTTATAAATGAAGGTGATTCTAAAACCTCTATCCATCATTTGAATTCTATCAGTTAAAAAGCCTATATTGCCTTATCTTGTCCCTTAGCAGCTCAAAGTGGTTACGACAGCCCATAGAAATCAACATGTTCTACAAATAACACCTTAAATTTCAGGAAAAAAAAAATGAATCTGTAGCAGACTGCCTTGGTTGCAAACAGTGGTAATTACAGATATTAATGGAAAAAAATACAAATATGCAAATAGTAAACTAATTTTACTACACAATTTAACTGTTTAAAAATAACAATTTAACAATTGAACTGTTTAATAACTGTTTAATAATTTGCTGCTAGAGTGTGTGATGAAAACCAGCTTACATAGGAACATGCTTCAAATATTTGGGAAGACATTCTGACTTGCTATAAAACACTATATGGTTTGGCTGAATCCACAGCTGTGTTTGGGGTAGGAGGGTGTGAATGGCGTGGTGTTCAAAATTAGCTAACTCCTGTTCGCTAAATGTGTATAAGATTTTCCAGGGATGGGCTTATGTTTCAACGAGATTTAGCATAATGCATAATGTTAGCTAGGCGATTTACTATTTAGTTAACCGTGGCAGTTAACTAGGGCAGCACAGTGGTAGTGTGGTCTGCACGGGGGCATTGTCGTGATGAGAGTTGCAGGTTTGAGCCCAGCCCTGTATGGTTGGTGTGCAGTCACTGATGTAATGGTAGCTACATATGTAAAGGACCCTCTGCACCCTGAAATTTCTGTAAACTTCAATAATATTAGTGAATGACCACCTCTACAGTGAATATGAGTAAAGGGAAGGGTGAGGTGTTAAATTTTTATGTGTGGGTCTGACCTGTGGGCTGCGGGCAGGGGTGGTCTCTCTCTCCAGCTGTTCCTGCTGCTGCTGCAGTCGGAGCAGAGTCTGTGTCTGCACATGCTGCTCCTGAACCTGCTGAGCGATCACCTTTAGCTTCTCCGGATATAGATGGGCATCCAAGGAACGGATCTGTCACACACAAACACATACAAAATTACTTTGTGTGCTTCTAGTGCATGGTAGCAAGAGAATCCTAAAACCAGTACTCCTCGTCTCTCTAAAGTTAACACACTTCTTTGACTATTGCATGTTACTTGACGTCTCTCATAACTTCATAAATTCTTAGACATAAATTCTTTATCCCTTTAAACATGAATTATTCGCTGTGGGGTTAAAAAAGCTAGTTCAAGAAAACACAGAACGTTTGTTTAACAAAGAAAAGGATGGACGTGTTAGAATCTCACTCATGGAGCAGAGGGGTTGAACCAAGTAATGACAAATGGTGAAACTACCGCTAATATGACGGGCCTTTTCTATTAACCAAAAGACAGATAAAAGCTATACCAGCTCAGGTGAACAACCAACAAGAACAAACATTCAATTAACCACAATCATTTTTGCAAGGTCAAAATGTAGCAACAAATTCTACAGTGAGTACATCGATGGTTGCCACTTTATGCAAAACTGTATATGGCTTTGTTTATATCAATCCTCTCTCTACATAATGTGTTTTAAGCAATTGGAAATACTATAACATACTAACACACTGACAGCAGGTTAATAAAAAATTCTGCTGTTCATACTGTCTATTACGAAATACTGACAGTTAAGTAAACTAATTTACAGAAATCATCTAGTTTCTTGGTTCTAACTATAGTTACCATGCTTTTTATCCACACAATTGGTTTAATTTGCTTTGTAATACACACTCATTTGATGTGATTCTTCACTGAATATCTTCAAGAGCTGCCATTGTTCTCCTAGGATCATGCACCATTGGTTTGACTGTGGGGTTAATCTGTATGTGGTGCTGTCCAGGTATTCCAGCCTAATCCAGAAAAGAAAAAAATCTTTTCTTTTCTTTCTATGTTCTAATCTCATACAGCATTTTTACCATTTACAACTTTTGACATGTACTACTGCTGCATCCTGCTGTATGTGTATGACATTTTCCTGAGGATTGTTAATAAGTTGTAATGGAGAAAATGAACAAAGACAGAAAAGCAGTAAAGTCTATTTCAAAGGCCTATGGAAAACTATAACTTTCAATCAAAATAAACTACTTAACAAAAACAAAACAAAAAACAAAAAAAAAAAAAGACATACTGGGTAATTTAGCTACTTTTTACTACGCATTTCACGCAGTTACTAAATGCTTGTTGTTTAGAGGTGGTCTACAACTGGTCCAAGATCAAGAACACGGCACATGGGAAAGCATATTGTGACATATTTCAGCACAACATACTGTCATATTGTACACCCCTATTGCTCTATGATTTCAAATTCTTTTTTTGTCTCGTCACATGAGAGCAATTTCATGCCCAATGGCACCATCTTGAGGCCCGAATATAGTAGCTTCACTGCAGCTCTTGACATTTCATTGCGCTTTGCACCAGTGTTAAGCTTAACTCTCATATTCTTCCTGTTCATTTTGAAAATTCACTTTACTTTTTACCATTCTCTCAACCTGACTTTGTAACAGCCATGAGGCATTCGTCATACTGTGCTTTGTGCCTCTCAAGCACTCTGCTTTGTTAGAACTTGCCTTTCCTGCATCTTACTTTTTTAGTTGTTTCTTGTCCCTGTTTTGTTTGGCTGCTGTGATAATTTACTTCCACCTCATCATTTATTGCTTTGACCTGACCAGACAAATCTCACTAGCCTAGCAGCTGCTTATTCAAGTGCTAGATCATCCATTCACTTTTCTTATTTACATTTCATTACATATACTGGTAGTTAAAAGAAACTGTTCACATGCTTGTTCAGTACTCTGCCAGAGAGAACACTATTCTTTTCTTTAATTTCAGTAAACATATACATAAATATTTACATACACACAACGTTTTTTTTATTATTTTTTTTTTAAACTATGTCCAACCTTTGCCTGTATTCTTTTCAGGAGACTTGCTTTCAGTTCGTCAAATAAATCTGCAGGAATCTGTTTCCACACCTCTAAAGTCCTAGTAGTTGTTTGCTTTTTCTGCTTCTCATGATTCAAATATTCCAAATTTGGTGTCCTAGGGCAAATTTTCTTTTTTGTCCATTTCCTTTTCTCAGTAAAAGCTTCTTGACAGCTACACATCCGTTCAGATCCATAGATCCATCACAGCGGAAGGACAGACAAAAACAAATGTTGACTGTTTCAGATTCAAAGACTGGAGCTTGATATTCTCTCATCCAAACTTAAAGCTTTAAGTACCGTTTATCAGAAAGTGTCAGTTGTTAGGGGACCCATTTCCCCATATAACTTTCAGTAATTTTTTTTTTTTTTTAACTCTACTCTTGGAAACTCCTACACTTATTTTCCTTTGACTTTCCCCTACCTTGCATGTATATCATCTTACATCTAATGACCTCAGAAATGTCTCCTGAAAAATTAATACTTGTACTTACATGCCGTTTTGACTGGAAGTTCAATAAATGAAGGGTGGTCTCTGACTCTTGCACAGTACTGTATGTCATACATTGATGTTCAGCAACTGTTTATGATGCATTTATCCTGCTTGTTCACTTAAAAGGAGGAAAACCTCAACAATCAGCATATATTCCAACTGGATAATGCAAGATGGCACACAGTTCATTAAGTCAATTCAAATTAATTTAATTAATTAAAAGTTAATTAAAATGAAAAATAAGTCTGAAAAAGCAGTATCAGGTTTAGTGCTGTAGTCAGTACCACTAGAGGCAATTGCAGGTGAAGACTAAGGCCTGAATATATCAAGTTCGAATCAAGACCAAGACCAGGAATGACAAAACTAAGGCAAGATTGAGACCGGGTTAAGGTTTTTTTTTGTTTTTTTTTCAGAATTAAAAAAGGGTAGTTTTTTATATTTTGTAAAATATAACATTAAATAATATATAGGCTAAATAATGATCAATTATCATTATATTATATTCTTAGTCCAACTTTGCATTAAAACAGAAGAAGTCACCAGCTAAAGTCAACTGAATACAAACCAGACAACATGCATCCATTTTCATTATGTAAAGAAAGTACAGCAGTAATAACATTCTGATTTGCCCACAGGGGATGTTAGACTTTTGGAAACTTTGAACATCCACAAACAAATAATATCTTGTTAGGACCTCATGTAAACCGGCACTGAACAGGTTTAGATGTAAACATGTAGAGAAAGGTTTTATGTTGATATTCAATAATGATAGAAAAAAAACTTTCAATTTCCACCTACCTCATACGAAGCCATTGTATACAGCTGGTCTCGAGAACAATTTGAGTCAAAACCGAGACAAGGCAGAGTCAAAATGATGTTAAGACGAAGACAATGCAGAGGCTAGTAATTTATGGTCTTGAGACCAAGACTCAACTTGAGTACTACAACATTATTGAGGTCGCCTTGAAGACTAGAGGACCTACAAAAAAAAAAATGAACTGCTCAAAAATTTTTTGTAACGATCACTGACCCACTGAAAAACAAACGCAAATTAGGAAACATGTACCAACAGTTTATAGTGTTTATCAGCATTTTGTATTTCCTCTAATCTAGAAGGCAATCTCTTAATGCTTTTCATACTTTCCTAAAGTTTTTGAAATGACTGAACTTCTTTCCACACATTCTTTACTGTCCACAGACCATCTATATTGGTTAAATTCTTCTACAAAATTACAACATAGCCTCACAAGATTTAAAAGGGTTTTAAATCATCTCTAAATTTCACATAATGAAGTGTGTGCCAAATTACACTTATGTTAGGATATCAATCATTTTTGTTGTTTTCCAACTTTAAGCAAATATACAGAATAAACTCAGCAAAATAGTTGCTGAACATCAGTGTAAGGCACTACACATGTGAGCATTTGTTTTTGACTGCTGTTGTACTAAGAAATTGTGCAAAACTCCTAATTTGCTGATTTTTGCTTTGTTATTCAGTTCTGTGATACATGTGCCTGTTGCTTCAAACAGTTCATGTAGACTACTTCAAATACAGAGATTATCTGAGTGATGGGTCAACAGGTCAGTCAGTCAGCACCAGAGTCACATGTGTTTGAGAGTTTAAAAGAAAATTACAATGATATACTACAAACATATTGCTGCTGTTGGAAGAAAACCTCGCATGTCCATTTTTGTTGTTTTTCAGTTTTTGACATTATTTGAAAATGCCTGTTGCCCTTTACATTGGGTGTATATTTTATAAAGAACGGACCTAAAGAAATGGCCCAAAATGATTTGGAAAAAAGTCTGGTTCCATTGACTTGCATTAAACGAAAAGTAGGTTTCTTTCTTTTCCTGTAAAGTTATCCTTTTGGAGATACAAGGTTCCCTTCCGACAACAGCGATACATTGTATTTCTGGGACATCTAACAAAATATCAAAGCGTTTAAATCTAAAAGGTCCTCAACCATCATAGGATGGTTGTTTTAACCATTTTTGCTATTCAAATACTTGATTAGTTTCTAAACCACATTAGAATATCAAAAACAAGCAAGTATTTCATATTGTGCATCATTCATGTGAAGCATTACTCCTCCAAGTGCCTCCAACAGAGAGTTGACCGTGGTAGCTCAAGTAGGGCTGGAATTTGACAAACTGACTTGATGCAAAGGTGGCAATCTATGACAATGAAATGTTAAGTCACTGAGATCATCGGTGCCAACCATTCTACTGCCAATATTTGTCTATGGAGACTGCCTAGGTTTGTGCACCTGTTAGAAATGAGTGTGGTTGAAATAGCCAAGCCAACTAATTAGATGAGGTGTTCACATAATTTTGGCAATGTAGTCTTAATGGCTTCAGCAAATATTGAATAAAATTTTACTATAATATTTGAAACCAGTAAAACCATTCGAATAACCAATGTTTTTAGCACTTTCATGAAACCACAAACATCCATGCAAATTTTTTTCAGTCTGACATGAAGCAAACTTTTGTTTATCATGGTAGCCAGCTGTAGCACACAGCTGCCTGCTCTGCAAACAATTCCAACAATAAGGCTTTCACAGTATGGTTACTATTTTTGGAGTTTCTGATACATCATTCCTCCATGGCTTCTGAGCCACTGTATACCACATTTTTCCTGCAGCAACGGTTAGAAGCAGAGATTGTGAGACCACACCATACATTTGTTGAAGAGCTAGATTTAGAAAACGACTTTGCTTTTAAACATATCAGATTAGGATGCTGCTATTTAATGGAGTCAACCTGAAGAGCACTGTCACTGTGTGTGACTGAGTTCCTCACCTGTTCCTCCAGCATCATGCGCACTGAGCGCTCCTTCTCCAGCTGCTGTCGGAGTTCAATCATTTCCCGTCGCAGATCTTCCACCTTTTCATCCTCGAGGATATCTGGCGAGCCAATCCCTTCATCTTTCTCTTCAGCACGCCTCCTTTTTGGGGATGAGCCACTGAACTCCTAAAACAGAGGAGGTTACAGATTTCGATGAAAATTAAAGTCACTGTTGACAATTAGTGATTCATAAAAACAACACTTTAAAAATGCATTTTTGGGGGGTTGTCTAGCAAACATTAATTTGGCTTTCTTAAAGAAATATCTTTAAACTCAGATCCCAATGATATTAAAAGGCATGTTTATACAAAGTGTATCACCACAAATGCTTTTAAAAAAAGTCTCCATAGAATTCTTTTACTTAAAGTTTTTGATAATTGGGACAACTAGTTTAACTAGCCAAAGGCTCACCTGGATGAAGCGCTTGAGCTGTGTGTTCTGCTGCAGTAGCCTGGTCTTCTCCTGCTCCAGAGAGAAGATATATTCAGCTGTCTGCTGTAAGATGGCAGCCTGGGTGAGAGGGAAGGTGTAGGATTTCATTACAAAACCTCCAGTTGACAAGGATAATCGGAAGCATAATGCAAGTTTGATTTTTTTCAGTGAAATCAAAGTGTAATATCTAAACTGATAGATGCTAACACTAACAGCCAAAGACCGTAGTTACAGCATATGTTGTGATAAGAGAAGCTGCCTGACAAACACTACTTTAGGGTGATTTCTAAACATAAATTATTTTCCTTTTTCCTGTGTCCAGAGGAAACTGCCAATTGGAATTTGCAACATATTATTGGTCACTGGTTCCTAAAAACCTGTCCTCTGGGCCTTTTTTTAACTTCTTTCACAGGAAAGAAATTATTTCCAGTCTAATCAGAATATGTCACATTATTGTGGACTGCTTTTGTTACATAATTCGCTGTTAGTACACTGAGTCACATCTTTTGAACATTTTTTTAGTTGTAAGGTCTATGATGTTTCAGTAATCATGAGCACTGTCCTCTGCTGGAAAGACAAAGAAATGCAACTTAAATTCCTGCAGAGAAATTTGAACACAAAATCTTTAAAATCTGTCAGCAGTGAAAATGTAAAAAATTAAGTGAGATATTTTATGGCCTTTTTAAATATTTCAAGAATAAATTATTAGGGCCCCAAGATGTGCAATGGGTAGCATCTGTAACACTAACAGACTAATTTGGGATATAAATTAGAGGACTGAGGTATAAATTACAACATTATCTTATTCAGAACATCTTATTTAGACACATTTGGATAACATGTATTTTACAGAATAGCTACTGAAAAGTGCGACTCACCTTGCTCAGCTTCTCTCCATCGCTATGTGGTATGAGTGTTTTAAGTGACTGGAAGCCAGCATTAATACTTTGCATGCGCCTGCGCTCGTTGCTGTTGGCGATCTCCCTGCGAATACGCCGCTCCTGGTCCCGTGCTGTCTCTGGTGTGAGGGGGATGTTTGCTAAACTGTAGAAAAAGATATATATATGATTCATATATAGTGACCATAATAAGGATGTCTGACACCACATCAGCACTGTGAAACATTTTTGTTGGCCAGAAACTTTTATATCATAGAACAATCACAATGCACTTATGAGTCCTGTTCCGTTGTGCTACAACACATAAAACAAGGCATTTCTGCATGTTAATCAGAGAACTCATTAAGAACAAAAATGTCACCTCACTCATACTCAATCATTTTGTGTCAATATAAGGAATTTGTACTATAAAAAGGTGAACAGGAAATAGGAAATAAACAAATCTGGTCATATGCGATTGCAGACATCTTAAGCCCAGCAATGACTTGCTGCTTGGAACAAGAATTAAGCATGCTTACCTAGTCACAACAACGATCATTCCCATCGGATCTTATTTTGACATGACATTAAAATCGCACAAAAGCTTGCTGTACGTTTCCCAATATTTACGTGGACCTACAGACTTCACCGGCTTCACCTTTCAATCACACGCTATTCGGCTCTATTCGAACCTGAGTACTACATTTCCCAGAATGCCCTTGGCTTTCCAGCGTGCTCTCCCCGCCTCCCTCTCGAAAAAGGATTGCAGACGCATTGACGGGCCTTCCACAGCATACACACCCCCTCATTAAAACGCATATTAATTTACCAATGTGTTACTCACTTTGTTTCTCTCGGGTTTGAAATTAATTCCATATCACTAGCTTAAAACAAGAATTTTATAGCCAAATAAAACTCTGAACAGTCTGAAAAATCACAGATCCCAGCCTCCGCCATTACAACAATGCGACTCTAGTGCTTCCTCTACGCTTGTCCATGCGGCAGCATGGCAGGGCTACGGGAATAAAGACTCAGTCCAGATGGCGAAAATGCGCAAACCTGCTAATACATCGACGTATTATGAAGCTCAAAAACACATTCTGTTTCTAGACCGTAAATAACCGAGCCCTTACGACTTATGATAGTTCTATATTTGGCGAACTAAGAATTAGACGACGCCAAATCCGCCGTGTAGCACAAGCCACAAGCATGGCCGCACTGCCCACAATAACTTCAGCCCGCTCTCGCAACCCAGCAAACAGCGTGTGCAATGGCGCGCCGTTCGACCTTAAGGTTACTGAAAAACGTGATTTATTCGGCCGTTCGTCACCATAAGAGCTCCTTATGCACAAAACGAAGCTGAAACGTGACGAAATGCTGCTCGAAATGCGCCCATTGATTTGGAATCGCCTTGCTACAGATCAGCGGCGTGGTGTGCATGGAACCACGTGGTTTGTGTTTGTTAGACACAAAATGGATCGATTTGGCCGAGATATTTGCAAAGTAATGATAATCCACAGTAGCATGGCTTCTATACTAACACTCAAATCGTTTATTCACGTTAGATTCGTGGTTTTATCTGGGGAATTACCCGTCTCACTCCAAGGGATTTGTCCGTGTACACAATAACATACAAACCAGACCAAGCATGTTGCCTCACCACGGCTACTTGGCGGGCAACCTAAGCGTAAATCAGCAAAGGTATGCTTATAATGATGTACTTTTAAGGGTGGAAAATAAAAGCGTGCATACATACCTACATAAGCCCCCAATGACTTCTTTCTCCGTTTTCCTAAAATGTTGCAAAGAGGGCACCTTCTGAGCTGGTACCATGAAATACTCCATGCTTTCCTCTCCAGTTTTGAGTCCTCGATTCGTATAATAGTTTCCTTATTTTGAACAGTTGTTACCTTCTATTACACACCTGTGAATTCCGCAAGCAACTGCGCATTTAAGTAGAATAATTTGGAATATTCTTCTGATTTCTGCAGTTCCGTGCATATGAACGTAACGTTAGCTGAATATTAGGAGTTGTAATGTTACTCTACTTCCAGCTGATGGGGTTCCCTCGTAGTGTGTGGCGCTCTCTCTACCTCTCCCTCCCCTCTCGTTCTCTCCCTCCTTCTGTATGTACGTGTATGTGTGTGTGTATTTGCAGCTGATCGGATGTCTTTCAAGGCGGGAAACAGCTGGTAGGAATCACACAGCACTACCAAAAGCCTCCTTCCGCGGAGCAAAGGCACTGTAAACAAAGGACTATTTTCAACTCCATTCCTCTACATTCGAGCGAGTAGTGGCACTTTCCGCGATTTTACAACTGGCAATTCTGCGGCATAATTAACAATAACAGTCACATAATACGTTAGAATGTTTTTATGCTGGTTCTGAAAAATGGACACCGTAATGATATTTAGGGAACATGGTTGAATTGTGGGGTTAGGGTTAGCGCGCATTTACGCTCCTCGCTACAGGGTGAAGTGAACGCTGAGGATCAGCTGACGAGTTGGCACAGCAAAACAGCAACAAGCAGGGGAGGGGAGGGAAGCGGAGCGGGCTGGAGTAGGACCCGCTGGGGCTCACTGTGAAACAGACGAATGTGTACACCATTTTGGTTGTGTGAAAGAAGAAGGAGGAGGAATAGAGCGAGTTACCTAATCGCCGCCTCCACTGTTTCGTGTAGAGGCGACCTTAGCAAGCGGCTCGAACACATGAAGACAAAATGGGAGAGGCCACGAAGAACCCGGAAGAACGATCTGAAATTTCGGCTGCAAGTGCCATACGAGAAAACATTATTTTGTCAGGGCGGGTAGTGACTTAGCAGCGAGACCCACATTGTTTTTGTTAGATTTTATATTACTGTTTCCGAAAATGCATCGTGTTTCACGCAGAGGCCAATTTCATATTAATGTTCAACCAAATTAATCGAATTATGCCAAAAGTAGTTTATGAACTAAGTCAAAACTTTAAGAGTTTAGACAAAATACTAGGTCATCTGATAATAAGACAAATACCTTGGGTGAATTATATTGTGAGCATATATTTTACACATAATTATGACTTTTTATTATGTTTTACATCATCTGTCATTTTCAGTAGTGAAATGAAAGGTGGGCTCATAGGTACCAAACAACGAACCAGAAGCCAATACAAAATTTTCAAAATTAACTGCAGATTTTTTGCACAAGGCAAAACATTCTTTCATGCATTACATAACCACAGTTCAGTAATACCAATGTAGTCACATGTCTAAAAATGCAAATAAATATCACAGCACAGTGTTCGGTCAAACCAATAAAATAGAGTGTATTAGTTTTTGTATTAGTTTGTAATTAAGTATATTTATAACCGTTTATAAAAAACAGTAGGCTGTAGTTGATAGTTGATAGTACAACTGATAGTAAAGACATGAATGAATGTACCACCACCACAATTATATTATTATTATTATTATTATTATTAATAATAATAATAATAATAATAATAATAATAATAGGTACCTAATGTATTGGTTAATGATTATAATTATTCTTCTCTTTTATTTATTATTTCTACATGTCTGACATTACTACCTCTACTGCTGCTGCTTCTACTACTACTACCACTACTAGTAGTAATAATAATAATAATAATAACAGTAGTAATAAAAGTCTTTGTTTAAAATTAAATTTTGCACGGGGAATTCATTTGTGATGAAGAACGACAGAACTCGTGCTCAGGAAATGCCATTCTGTAATTTAAGTACATTCCTTATGTGACTTGTTCTGTATATTCAAGATGTGAATGGCATATCCAATATTGATTAAAAAACACACTTGTTTATTTTCAGCAGAACTAAATTGTTTTTACCATACTATCGCTATTTTGATGTTAATAAGTCATTATATATTATAATTATGTATAAGACAATTATAGAACCACAATATTTGTGTTTTTTTTTCGTTTGTAGACAAATTAAAAGTTTGACGGCTGGTAATAGTAGTATATTGCTAGATAGAATGATATGATAAAATGATAAGAATATTTTCAAGGCTGACAAGACCACAACTAAATGTCAGGTAGATAGTTGCATAATAATAGTGTGAATAAAGTGTGTCATCATTTACATAACAATAGATAACATACATTTTTGGAGTCAACTGCATGTCGACACATTTGGCATATAGTGTGACATTTATTTTTGAATTCTTTGCAACCTTTGGAAAGTGAGATTAAACCTGCTGACCCAGTATATAATATTCATCTAATCTAGTCTAGTTTTGATGGATTGAGTCTCCCTGATCACTGTCAGGCGCTGCTTGAATTAAACTTCGCTATTGAACTTTTGGAAACTGCCCTCTAGTGGCATGAGGTAAGTTAGATTAAGCCTCATTTACAGTTCTAATTTAACTCATGGATTGTCGTGTTATCTATTGTTCTTTATTATTGTAAAAAAAACTGTCACAAAGAGCATAAAGAACTAGCCTAATGCTAAATGAATGCCTAGCCATAGAATTGGGATTTGCTAGGTATTGTTATATGTGGTATCAGCTTTACAAGCTACACAACAACTCCTCCTCAGGTTAATAACATTTCGTGCAACTTCACTCATTTTTATACTGTGTCTACGTAAAAAGTAAAGGATACTGTTCCGAAAAACAGACCAACACAATCCGTATCTAAACGCAGAAATTTTAATTTTCCAGATCATTTCTGGTTGGCAAAAGAAGACCAATGTACCCAACCAACTAAACTGAGTATGAGGGAGGGATTTAAATAAGGATGTTTGGAGGAGAGCCTGGAGCTGCCTTTGGTGGATGGGCGGAGCAGCAAGCATGCGCTGAGCTGGCAAACTCCAGGCTAGTTGCGTTGTTTTCTTCCCCACCCGTATTCAGACAAAACCACCCTCCTGCGCTGGGATTGGTCTTGGGGCGCAAACTTGCAAGCGGTCCGCCACGCTTAGATCATGCGTAGGACTGTGGTCTAATGGTTGACCTTAGTGAATTGGAGCTGCTAGCCAGTCACAGCGCTGAAAGCAGGACATACCTAGCCAATCACAACGCAGGAGGCAGGGTTTATCGGAATACGGGTGGGGGAAAAAATAACGCGGGCTAGTCCCCCTCCGCCCGAGGAGAGGGAAACACGGCTCGAGTCCGGGTGCTGTCTGCTTTCAGACGGACGCACGAGACCACCTTACCGTTCGCGTCTCCGTAAGGCGAGGAGCAGACAAAAACATAAGAACAAGGTACACCCAAGACATCAAAGGAAACAACGGAGACATCATCCGGACACGAAGCTAGAAGTACCCCCTCCTCCTCGCGACAGCTCTCCTTTCTATCGCCCCGTTCACCCCCTCCCCTCAAGAGGACGACCACCCATAGAATACCCCGCTGGACCAGCTTCGTCAATAAGCGATGCACCTTGTACTTCTAAAGAAATCAACAACGACTTTTTCATATTTTTGTGACAACCATTGTCTTTCATCGCTACGTTGACTCAACGTTATAAAGAATACGGACGCTTTTTCAAGTATTGACACTATTAGGCTAACGGGTTTCAAGACTGAGGAAAATCTCATTCCTTGCAACGAACATCAGTTAGGCGGTTTGCTGTTGGGTTAGTTCTGTCTGGCTCGGTTTCGACGGCTTTTCGAACTCTTTTTCAAATGTTTTAAGCTTTCGAACAGTTTTCTCATTTCTTCTCGCTCTGCTTAATTCATAACGACAATGGTCTGACAGTCGACCGCTATAGACAATGCTACATTTCTAAGCTAACGCTGACAGTGTCAGTATTCTCTCGCACAGAAACAGTGTGGGGGCTTGTATTAAAAAGGAACGCTTTTGCTACAGAAAGGAATTCGAGGAAACGCTCTGAGTGAAAAGTTTCGGGAGGAGAGGAGTGCTTCAAGTCGAAGCCATCTCGGCCATATCCACAAGATTTCTTCAAAGGTAAGAACTCAGTAACCCAATGGTATCAGATATCGCACCAGGGTTACATCATTTGCTCGCGTAGGAGGCGACGGATCATTTAATATAACGTGACTGTCTGTGGTTGTTGAGAAATGAGACACGGTCAGTTGTGGATAGCGCAAATGACCTATTTTTCCATCCAAGTGCCCTGATGTTTCATTTGGCTTTCACGTTCGTGACGTAGGCTACGTGCTCCGTCCTGATCGTTTGAGAGACGGTGGATTTCGAGTAAATAATGTCATGTCCACATTCATCTATTACTCGGGCTGTCTGCCCTAGTTCGAGGAGCTGCAAATGTGCAAGATGCAATAGCAAGGGCTAACAATACATATCTGTAGGCCAACTAAGGTACAGCCTTACGTGGGGAGTTATGGCTGTATAGCCATATCCTATGTATCTTGATGTGGATGTAAATTACCTTTTTAAACTGCCACACAAGCACAGAAGGAAAAAGCGTAATATTGCATGCTGCTGCACTGTCACTGTTGTTATCTGGGATTTGATGACGTGCAGTGGATGAAAAGCTGTTTTTCTCCAATTAGACAATTCCAATGGCCCTGTGCTTAATTGTGAGTGCTTTCTGTCTTGGAACAGAGTCTGTCCTCATTGGCGGCCACACATGGTTCTATTGATACAGAGGCAGTCTGCCAGGAGGCAGTTAACCAGCTAAAACAGGGAATCTGAAATGAAAGAACAAATAACGCACACATAAATATAGCATGTTTGGATCAGGTGAATTGTTTAACGATAATAGCCAGTTGCAATTAGTCGTTTGCATTTCAACTGAATGAAGGCTTGATGCTCAAAAAACCTATTGTAACAGTAAAAAATTTCAGTATTGCATGGCTTATATAAAAATGCTAGATTGACCTTGATTGAACTTTTACCCTTTCACTTTTTTTGTCCAGCTTTTCAACACTATATAGTTGACAGTAAATATACAGATGCACTTTCCCGTTCCTATTTCCATTTTCCTGCTGGTGTGTTCATGCATCCACTGAGAGTTAAGAGAAATCTAGAAATGAACAGACCAGTTATCAGTGATCCTTTTTTCCAGGTTTGAAACTGACCTGTTCCACACAGATAACGTGTGTGTCTCTGTGTGTGTGTGCACGTGCATCTCTTGAACAAACATCTCATATTATTGCACATTATTCAGCACATGTGGTATGTCAGCTGGGGGCAGTCTGTGTCTTGAGGTCTTTTGATGTGTACTGGTGAAAAGACAGATGACCCTCATTTACACTGTGATTTTTAAACACAGTGAAAAATCATGAAGAATTGTTTTCCACTTACCAGAGAATGAGATTTGACATAACATGAACTGCAATCATCAAAGCCAGCAAAAAGTTTGAGAAATATGAGACTTTCAACAACACCACAAACTTGGAGGGCCAAGTAAGGGGTCTGGCTTGCAAACCATGTTTGGAAAGCTGGGCCAAAGCAGACCCACCCTGAAGAACCTCAGTGAATAAATGCCCATTAGGAAATCTGCTGCTTAATGGATGAAGAGGGGCCCCAAATCTGGTCACAGCTCATATGGGGGGCTGGATGGAGAGCAGAGAGACTGGGCTAAAACACAGAATATTCTCATCAACACACTTCCTCTGTTAAATCCGGTTAAATACAGCTGCTTTTTTGTAAATTGAGCATAGTCTAAAGAACACAGAAAGTGTACTCATAGATTCCTGGAAGACAACACCTTCAGCATGAGGAATTAGCTGCCTGTAAATTCTGAGCAGATGAATGATTGTCTCAGTGGGGTTCCATTGCTGCATGTGATTACTGTCAGGCAGAAATGCACACCTAGCAGCAGGGAAAAGAGGGTTTTAAGCAGTCATTGAATTGGGGCACCACAGAGGAGAGACATGACATTTCCACTGATATCAAGATGAGGGATGTTAAATTGCACCATTTTATCAGTTTGAAATTGCTAGCCTACAGACACATCTTCCGAGACCTACGTTTGGATCCAGTAGTTAAATTGTTTTTTTCCAAATATGTCAGATACGAACAAATAGTTTGTTTTATGGTCCACAGATCTAGTGCAACTAGAACATGCAGTCAGACAAGGTTTGTGGCCTCTTCTGAAAAGTGACTAAAATGATGTAGGATTTCAATATGTGTCTGCAAATTCTGTTATACAAAACTATCTGTGGTTATGTCTGCCTTGCTTGAAGGTAGTGCAAATCTGAACTCTAAGCCAAGCATCTAATATTTCCAAACAGGTTCATGTGGCCTAGCATTAACTGAAGTGCAAAACTAAACTTTAGATTACAGACAGATCTACAGAGGGCTGAGAGTCTGAGATGTTTGAAGTGCCACATGACCGCTAACAGTGATTGTTGGGGGGGCACTGGGAAATGATAAAACTGCAACTCTTGGTCAAATAATGTCATTTGAGAGAAAGCTTCAGTTGTAGCTCAGCCTGCTGTTATTAAACTGAGCGCAAATTATCTTAAGGAGATTTTCACTTTTGTCGTAATTATGGACATCTTTGATTAAATTTATATTCATAATTAAAAATAAGATCTACATATTCCAAAAGTTAGCTTAGCAGGGCAGGATGCATATGGCATGCTGCTGAGTGGAGAATGTCTGCGCAGGAATGGCCGTATCTAGCTAAGAGGACATAGAGGTCTGGACCTTGGTAGTTTCAGAAAGGTTTCTCACTTTTCTCCATTCGTGATATTAAAGAATAAAACAGTGCCATTCTGATAATGCCTGCTCAGGGTGCAGCCCTCAGAGGCCCACTCAATCAAATGGAGACAGAATATTTATTATGCTTCATTTTTTAGGACAGTTAGATAGTCTGAAATTTGATTTGTTTTCTGTGAGTGGAGTGCTGTCACTGTAATCAAAATCTGACAAGCTTCAGCAAATTTTCTCAGTCTTACAATCACTGCTTAGGAAAAGTTGCTATCTGCAGTTGCTTTGGTATGTAATCAGAGCCTGTCATGTTAGTAACTAGCGTTAGGACTCTGTAGGTCCTCTGTAGTTTCTGAAGGGTTTTATCAGTGTGAAAAAAGCAACGAAACTACCCAAAGAACAGTAATATTTTTATGCTATGATAAAAATGTAAGAGTTTGTAAGTGTAAATAACAGATTATGCTTGTAAAATACAACCCCCAAAATTCCTCTTTTAGTTGGATTGCTCATAACATTACTAGCTAAATCAGCATGCTGCATTCTAGCTATACATTATTAAGAAATCAGCAGGTACCGTAGGCTGGATTTTGTCCCGTTATCTGTAGGAGTAGTTGGCTTTACCGTTAGCTGGGGTTTATATAAAATCAATCTGAAACTATCACCTGATTTAGTATAGGTTTCAACATGTTTCAGCTGAAAAAAACATATAAATAAACAGTTAAATGATTAATTGAAAAAACAGGGTAACTGGAGTCAAATCAGTTCATGGAACAGTAATAGCAGTAATAGTTTATGGAAGAATTGAAGGATGTGCAAAGGAACAAATGCAATAAAAAGGTGCATAACAATTATGGATGGCTAAAAAGGAGCAATGATTTTGGCGAAAATTGAAAAAAAAAAATAAAGCAAAAAATAACAGTTGGTGTACTCACACTCCATTCACCACGAGATGTAAGTCACATTTCTGGAAAATGGACCTCACTAAAATTTTCATCCTAGTTGCAGCCCTGTGCACAGACAGACCCTCGAATGGTGAAGTTGATACAAGAGCAGAGAGGCCTAAGTCAAAAATCCTCAGTGGGCCCAGTACAAACCGCCCTTCTTAGTTGGGTCCAGACCATGCATTCTTCTCCAGTTAAACTCTAACCACTAATCACAGCACAGCCTCACCGTTTCCTCTTGGAACGGCTTCTTCTTATCCTCCATGTTGTTGAGAGCCCTACCCCACCCCAAACAAGAATACCCCCCCCCACCCCCCCACCCACAAGCACCTTGATAGGACATCCAAGGAAAATCTGTGGCCCATGCCATCTATCTACAGTTCTCCTACCTTTGTGCTCCATTGAACCAGGGCTTTGGTAGATCACATCCAAAATAAATACAGACAGAGTTCTGTGCCCTAGACCACACCACTGACATCCCGCCTCTCTCACTTTTCCTCACACTGTCTTTATTTCTGCTTATCTCTTCTTCTTACTAGAGGGAGAGATATCTCCAATAAAAAGCTAAGGTTAGAATGTAGGAAAGTCTGACAGAAAGTAAAACAGATCAAGAAGGAAGATTAAATTAAGTGATCAAAAAAGTGAACAAAACACAAACAGAAGCTCTGCAATGAAAGGGTCTTCAGAAAGCATGGTAAGTATTTGATGTTTATGTCTGTGTAACGTGTGTGGCTCCAGATAGCCACATCAACATGATTGTTTTGAAGCTCTGAGCAATAAGCAGTGTAATGTACTGCTCCTGAAAGCTCCAGCAGCTAAACCGGAGGCACAGCTGTTTCATATTATTATTTACTTGCTTGGCCAACACCCTGGATTCTCCAGAATTACCCACAATAGTTCTGCCCAACTACAATGAGCAAGCAAGGACTTCAGAAAGTGTGTGTATGTATATATATATATATATATATATATATAAAAGAAGAAAAAAGGGGGGGGAAGGAGAGAGAGAGAGAGAGGGAGAGCGAGAGAAATGTAGAGAAATGTAGAGAGGAAGAGAGAGGAGGGGAAAAGAAGGAAAAGCAAAGCATTTCAGAAACAGAAACAAGTCTCTCTCAAGTCTGGGCCTGGGCTTGACGCTCTGTCTGGGCAAATCCATTCCCATCAGGGAGTGTAAGTGTATGAGTCCTGAGCACTCTCCCACTTTCCATGACCTCCTATTCTAAACATTTTTTTCATTGTCGTAAGCGAGGCTTTTTGGAGAAAGATGTGGATTAAATGTACAGTATAATCAAAGTGTATATATATATATATATATATATATATATATATATATATATGTGTGTGTGTGTGTGTGTATTTTGATTATACATGTGTAGCCTATGTGGCTCC